TCATCCATATTATTAGCATGTTGCACCAGATCACTGTGAGGAATTACCAGTGAACTGGAGACTGAGGGTTTGATCAGGTGTGTGATATATACTCTAAAAAAAATACTGCAATAATTTTTAAACTGCTGTAGCAACACAGGGAGTGCATTCAATAGGAAGTGTTGCTTACTGTTAGATAAGCTCTGAATGCTACACTTTGTAGGAGCCCAAACATTGAAGGTTGTGTTGTGGTTGGTTTTTTTTTTTTTATCAAAAAGGAATGGAAAAAAAGCCCAGTTTTAAAAAATAAGGAGAAGGAAACAGGAATTATCAGAGCTGCAGTTGGTATAAAGGAAGTGAATGTTACCACAGCCACATCTGCTAGAGAGGTTGTGTTACTCCTGCTGCTTTTTATTAGATAAATGTTGAAGGGTTTTTGTCTTGGAGTTCGGTCTTGCAGAAAGAGCTATACGGAACAAAGCACCCCTCAGATGAAGCATGGGTTTGGGGCTGGCAATGCAACATTGCAGGTTAACTCTGACAAATACCCGTTAGGAAGCGAACGGTTCCTGAGTTGCTGTCTTGGCTCTTGAACCCAAACAAGGCCTCTGAGAGGGCCCACTGTGAAAAACAGCACTCTAGATGCTGTGGTCTGGCCATTGGCTTTGAGAAGTGCTGTAGATGAACTCGGAGTTGCAGTGAGGACATGAGACTGATATGGACTGATGTGCGAATGTCTTCAGTGTGGGTTCCTTGGTTTTATGCTTTGCTTTCATTACTTGGTTTCCAATTTTATACTCAAGGACTGATGCTTGGCTGGAAAGAATGGTTCTGTTTGTATTTTTAAGCTAGTCTAGTATTTAAAGTGAGTCTAGGGAAATATTCAAATGAATCTCATTTTGCTTCTCTGTAAATAGGTAATCCTAGTAAAGACGTGAACACCTCAGAATGGGAAGTCAAGATAAGTTGGAAATCCCTGGAATTGTTTCCCACCGAGCTCCACTGTGTAAGCTGTCACTGTGAAGCAGCAAGATACAGGGAGAAATCACCTTTAGCGACAGACCGCTACTGTCCCTCTGGCGAAGGGGTAAGTGACGGATAAATAACCGATGATTTCACAAAAGCCCACCTTATTGCAGAGAACAACTGAATTTGGGGGAGATTTGTTGAAACCACAGAGCCTATTTACAAAATACTGTCCTACCAAGGAAGGAGATGGGTATAAAAAGCCTTCATGTAGCCATGCAGCAGCCAGAATGGGTGGGTGGATGGCTGATTTAAATATTTTGGGATAAATGAAGATAATTCTAAGTGAAAAGTACTGTGTTACAAACCACTGGAGATCTGTCCCATATACTCTTGTTGTAGATTAGTTTTATTTAAGCATACGTAGCTTTATAAAAATACAATGAATAATCCCTTTTTCATAAAAAGGGTTTATTAACAAGTAACAATAATGCCACTAAAGAGACAGATTAAAAAAGAAGCGTTTAGCTTGAAAATACAGTCTTTTGTGTTGTAGATTCAGGGAAATGGTAACGGAGTATGGCTTTCCTCTTCACTTCATTAGATAGCTGGTTTGGATCACGGTGCTTGGGACTTAGGAAGCGTGGCTTATTTGGTATGATGGCTTATGTGAATGGACATGAAGTCTGAGTATTGTTTTTTGTATAGTTATCAAGGAACCCACTACTCCAGCCAATTTGTGTCAATTTTCATTCATGATACCAGAGCTCAAACTTGAAAAAAAGACATAGAAAAGAAGAGGGGAGGGGGAAAAAGCTCATGTAAAGTATTCAGTGTCCATCAGGGCAAGGGATTTTCCATGTTCCTCCTTCCAGACAGTGGTGCCTGTCTTCCTGGCATGGTATTGCTTAATTTCCAAAACTTCCCCACCCCCTCCCCCCCAAGGCTCCTTCCAGCAGTGGTGCCTGTCTTCCTGGCATGGTATTGCTTAATTTCCAAAACTTCCCCACCCCCTCCCCCCCAAGGGTTTATCCTACCTTAATCTTATTCCAATGCTTGTGCTTACTAAGTATGTTGTAAATGCTTAAAGTTGTGCTTTACTACAGTTATGTTGGTGTGCTAGAGGGGGACAGAAGATCTTTATTCCTGTAGATACAGTGCCAGTATTTGCCACTTTTTACAAGGTGGGGGGAAGCAAAGGACTCTGCTGTAGGGCATGTACCTTTTCTTGCTTCCCACCACATAGTCATCTACTTTACTTCCATCACCAATAGTGGAAAGAAGCATCTGGCCCCTTATTAACTCACTAATCAAATATGAACACAAAACAAAGTCCAGTGTTGCCCAAGCAATGAACAGGAGTACAATTAAACCAAACCCACAGATGCTCTGGTTATGTGTCTATGTTGGATCCCAGCCAGAACAAACTGTTAGCTGTGCTGAAAAGTCGCCAAGCTCTTCAAGATAAAATCAACCCCATAAAAATGTTATAATTAACGATTTCATTCTAACATCTTTGGATGCCTTTAAGTTATTGTTTCGGGTATGTTTTCTGCTGAGTTGGAAAGGTGCCTGTTTCTGTATTTCATTTTGTTTCTAAAGATCAGTCATCTAACTGCTCGTTTAACCTTGAGCCGTTATAAAGCGTGTTCATTTACATGCACCTCACTGAAATTAACAAACGGTTTAGGAGTATTGGCCAAGACCTGCGAAAGCAATTTCCGAGTCAGTTTGAGTGGCAGTATCTTTTCCTGGCACCTCCTGTGAGTAATCCGTGACCTGGGGATCCCAGGTTTGTCCTGGAGGAGGGCCACAAAAGTCTCCGACTGGTTTTCTAATTGAAATAAGAAGCGAAGCGCCCACACAAGACATTTCAGGATTTTTCATTCTATTATAGATTCCAAGTCAAATCTGCAAGTCTGGCTGAGCCACAGGCGCCATGTAAACTCGAGCAGGAAGTGCTAATTGCTCTTGACTCCTCTCGTCTGGAGCATCTCTGGTGGCTATACTGAAGGCTCACTGTCATGGTGTGTTTATTCTGGCAGCCTGCATTTAGAGCACTGACAGGGATGGTCTTGCTCCACCTCTATCCCTGGGGTTGTGTGCTCCCTCCACCTCCCTTGTGTCTGATATAGGTACTGTGAGCCAGATCAGTGCAATCGTCCACGGGAAAACCAGTCATTATTTCTAAGTGGTTGATTTTTTTTAAATTTCTTTTTTCATTGACTCATGAAGCTGATCCAGCTCACCACACGGTTGCATGATAGCTAGGCCATGAGAAATGTGTAGGTGGCAGTAGGAGGAAGTTCATAGCAAACTCTGTTTCGTGAGAAATTCTTAATTTTGAAAAAAGGCGATAAACTTTAAACAATTTCAAGAAGAAAAAATTTTTTTTCTTACAGAATAAATAGAAGCTATTTATCATAGGTAATTAATTAAAGGGTTTAAAGTTGAAACTTTCTGAAGTTTTAAAAAGCCCAATGACTAAGTCAAGCTGAGCTTTTTTTCCCCCTCTCCAGATAGTTAATTTGAAAACATTTTTTCTAGATTTCTTTTACATTTTCTTGTAGTTGGGAATACATGAACCTTTTTCTCTCTCAAAAATATTTCTGGGATGAGAAAACTGCATGTTGCCTAGTTTAAGAAAATGCTCATAGTTGCTCTGGAAATAATATTTGTGGAATTGTTTGTCATCTAGGTTGCAATAAAGCTGAAAGATCAGCAAGAGGGTTTAAGAATCGCACAGTGGGCCCTCATGTAGCCAGCCTTGTCCTAGGGGTCTGCAGTCTCTGCTATTTCCACTCATTTTTCACTTTCTGCCGCTGTTACTGGTGCGTTGGCTTTGCTGTGGTGCAGTGCTTGGTGGCCAGTGTTGCTTGGGAGGGAGTTCACGAATGAAACCCTGCCGAAGTAGGGAATGGTGAGAGGCATTCTGAAATGCCAAGGGCGTGTGGGCACAAGAGCTTTGAAAAACCAACCAGTATTTTGAGTCACTTTCCCTGTCACGTAACATATTGTCTTTAATCTCATTTAAAGCTGAAAAGTGTGCTGGTGTATCTATACCTGTTACAGATATATTGAGAGAGTATAAATAAACCATGCTTAAGCAATGGGTTTAAGCCAGAGAATGAGAGTATCGTTCACATTAGGTTGTGAGCATAATGAAGTTTGGGTTTATTCAAAGTTGGCTGTTTACTTTTACCTATCATAAAGTCAGGAGCAAGAGGTGAGGATTCCGGCTGTAAATGTTTTGAATACCAAGGTGTCTGTAATGAAGGATTTTGTTTCTAGCCAGCTTTAGCTAGATGGCATTATCCATAATCTCCCTTGTGTCATGGAAGTGGGTATGCAATGAAGTAGAAAATATTATATGGACTGCCTAGTATCAGTCTGTTAATTTTTATACATACTAAGACTCTATGAACACTGTATGAGACTCGGTTAGGAAAAGTTGTTCTATATTGTGTTGTAAAATATTCTTATGTGAATGCTTTAATCTAATTTTATACTGGTATAGCGAATAAAGGAGGGGCAGCCAGGGTCTGTGCTTGTCAGCTTGGAAAATGAAGACTCCTATGATGGTGAAAGAGCTTGAGGAGGAGGAGTGGATGGATCCTGTGGTCAATGAGTGCTTGCACAGCTGGTGTTGACAGCAGGGATTTGGCTTTTATGACCATGGGACCCTCTTTGAGTGCCAAGGACTGTTAGGAAGAGATGGGATCCACCTGACCAAATCAGGCAAAAGCGTTTTTGCCAACATGCTGGCAAACCTGGTGAGGAGAACTTTAACCTAGGAATGGACAGGAGAGAGCTGATGACAAACAGATAAGTGAGGAAATAGTGGACCAGATTGGTAAGCAAGGGATGCAGGGTGATGTGGACAAGAGAGACATCAGAAATTACACAGAGGACTGAAGGGTGCCCACCTAAAGCCTATGCACCTGAATGAGGAGGTGCTGAGAGGACCGCATTGCAGGGGAAGCTCTACTGCTTCTCCTGGGAAATCAGCACAACTGGGTGCCTCTTTGAACTGCCTGTAGGCTAATGCAGACAGGATGGGGAACAAACAGGAGGAATTAGAGGTCTGTGTACAGTTGCAGGGCTATGATCTTACTGGGATCATGGAGGCATGGTGGGATAGCTCGCATGACTGGAGTGCTGCCATGGATGGATAGAGGCTCTTTTAGGAAGGACAGGATGGGAGGCGAGGAGGGGGAGTCATCTTTTTTGATAACGATGGGAAGGTGTGGACCTCTGCCGAGGGACAGGTGATGAGCCAGCAGAGAACTAATGGGCTAGGATTAGAGAGCAGGCAGTGTGGGTGATGCTGTGTTGGGTGTCAGCTACAGACACATGAACATCTAGAAGCAACTATAACTAAAATTACTTGAACTTTTCATTTTTGAAGCTCTTTCCACTTCCTTCTAATTTGGGAATGACATTTTGCACGTCTGAACTCTTCTCAAAAGTATTTTTGGAAAGTCTGAACAAAAACAGTTTAGCCATCTTTGTGTAACATGACTGCTATGAAAGTATTCGTTTGCTATGACACATTTTTGGCAGACAGCTATTGAACAGCTTTAGGGCCTCACTGGAAATGTCCAAAAGTATTTTTAAAATCATTGTATAATTATTGTTGGTTATAATAATGCTTGGAGACTCTGCCCAGCAATCAGAGACTTAGAGCACTAGATAGTCTGCAAGCAGCAATGAAAAGCCAGTGCTGGCCCTCAAGGACTTGCAAGAGGCTTTGCCAGCAACAATGGCTGCATGTCCAGGGGTGAGCAGGACACAGCAGCGAAAATGTTACCGAGCTGGCAAACCATGGTCAGCTATGGAGATTTAACTGGATGCGGGTCCACATTGCTGCTAGCATTTGGCACGTGGTGTGAAAGAATTGAAAGGAAGGGGGACTGCCATCCCCCTGGCCACTGGACAAAGGCTGCAGCGATCCCAGCACTGCAATCCCCTAGCTCATTTGCCTAGTCTCTCCACTTCAACCTGTGAATGAGAATTATTCAGGGGAGTAAGATAGTACTGCAAAAAATCAGCTTTAATGTGAAAAACAAAGTGTTTGTTTCAGGGCAATTGTTGTCATCACCACTGATGATAACGGCCCAGGCATCGGGAAGTACTCGGCATTTGAGCAGTAAGGTGGACTATCTGAAAGTAAAGTTTTAAAATTGCCAGGAGATGGGAATAATTATGTCACACTTCCCACTCTCGTTTTGATCTTGTTACACAAGCGTGAGTGAATGTGAAATTAGATCCTCTCCTTATAGAAACGTTCCAGATTAGTTTCACTTGATATGTTTTTTGTTCCATTATTAGAGCTACATTTGTCCCAAACTTTTGAAGTTTGACTTTATTAAACTTTTTCTAACGGCCATACTTTACGAATACTCCTTTCTACACAATTGTCTACACAATAAAGCTGTGCCTCCTGAAGACACAAACGTGGAGGTGTTTCATATTGGTGGAGAAAGCAGTGTTCCCTGAAGCCGTTCGTCTCAGATCCATGCTTTCCATGGCACCCCATGATCAAAAGCTATGAAATGCTACTCCTGAGAAATGCCGTTAACGTTGAGTTGAGGCAAGTGGACAGTATTTCCTGAAGCTTTTAGATGAAAAATTTTTAGATGTTTTTCACTCAACTGTTTATTTCATGGAAAGAAATACATTTAAACTTTTAAAAATCTAACATCATATGACCTTTCAACTAATATACTGCTGAATTAGAATAAGAAAAGCCTTTATTTATTGCTGCCTTTTCCCCAAGCTATTCTTTTTTAGTTGCATTAAAATGGAATATATTTGGGCATAAAAGATGACAGCTCCTTTTCATGGCCTTTTACTGTATTTTTGCTGTGGCTAGTCAGATGCTTTTATCTAAAGCTTTGTTCTTTGCAGTGGAAAAAATTTCAGAGGATTTAAGAGAGTGATAAGAGTTTTCCGAGAAAATAAAATTTTCACACAATACTTAGCGCTGATCAGGAAATGGGATTTCATGATGGCAAAGCTCCGTGCTTTGTAAAAACTCTTGTTGACAGTGATGGACTCTGGGGTTCATATTGCAGCTCGGCAAACATGCTCATCCTTTTGTGCTTCGCTCTGCAGCACGGGTACTGTTTGTACTAGGGGTGGTGGGTAATTCTCCTGCGTCCTGAGTAGCAGCCTGTACCTATGGTAGCTGCTCAAATGTGACTCCCGTGCCAGGACTTTGGCAAGTGACTGTTGCGGCAGGAGGCTGGTGTGGGCTTCTGGGGCAGCCCTCGCCGGGTCATCCCGGGACCCAGCTGGATGGAACCAGAGGGTCTGGCATGGCGCTGGGAAACTGGAGGTACATGAAAAATGGATCAGCTGAAAGAACATCTCTGAATGGCGCTTGGGAAGGGAAAACATGTAGGACTCATTGGCATGGTGAAAATGCGAAGTGTAGCTCAGGATGGATAGGAGCAGAAGAACTTTCAGTGTGATCAACTGACAGCTGATAGTTCAAGGAGAAGATTAGGAATAAGAATCATAAGAATAATAATCTTTTATTATTATATATTATATACTTTATATTATTAGGACAAATAGAAGATTAGGAGTAATAATAAGATTAGGAATAAGGAATAGCATTTGATTTAACCATTCTTGTGGCAACTTTTAAATAGGACCAGAGCAGAAAATAATCCTTGGCTAGTCTGGTCCTGTGGCATTGGCTGATCTTCCAGTTGCCTGAGGCAGCAAAATGCCAACGGGCAGCGATGGTGGGACGGGCAGGGCACGGGTTCTTAAGGAATAGCATTTGATTTAACCATTCTTGTGGCAACTTTTAAATAGGACCAGAGCAGAAAATAATCCTTGGCTAGTCTGGTCCTGTGGCATTGGCTGATCTTCCAGTTGCCCGAGGCAGCAAAATGCCAAGGGGCAGCGATGGTGGGACGGGCAGGGCACGTGTTCTCCAGCTGCAGCTGCCTTCTGCAGAGCCAGCCCTGCTGGTGGGGCTGCAACCTCGTGATCTGCCAGTGCTGATATTAAGTACTTTACATTTTCCCCTCCAGAATTCGGAGATCATCTTTAATGCGAAGTAATTACAAGATTGCAAAATTGGAGGTAGTAAGGGCCTATTAAGTGGGACACCCTCCTCTGCCTGCAGGGGATTGTTCAGGGGGAACTAGGGTGATTTAAAAATGGGAATTCAACCAATTATTCACCTAATAGTTTCAGTTCATCCACTTCTGCCACTGAGATACATGGTATCATCTTTCTTTGTAAGCAGCGTGAATGGATTATTGAGTTTCATTCCCAAATCATCTGCAAGGCAGTCTTTGTATCTCTAAGCAAAGGGGGAAATGTAAGCCTCTCGCAACACCGCGACTGAATATTCTCCAGGAAGAAATGAGAATATCCTAATCATAATTCCTGTGGGGAGCTCATTTCATGGCATGCGACCTTCAGCTTGAGTGAAGAGTTGCAATAAGGAACTGTATCTAGTTCTGTCTGGTAACAGCTCTATAAAGCTTAAGTATTCCCGCTGTAAATGAAAGATGAGGTGAAAGCTGACGCGGTGCTGGCTTTTGGTGATGTAATGCCACCTCTCACAGGCCGCCCCAGTGGAGGGATCAGACTGATAGGAGGGTGGGTGCGTTCGTACCTTTGACTTCCAAATGTAAAGCTGCTCGCTGAGGCGGGAGGGAGACGTGGGGCTGGGCACCGCCGCGGTGCTCCCCTCAGGTGCGCCTCCGCCCGCCTGAGGGGCAGCCTCAGCGGCGGGGGCCGGCCCCCGCCCTCGCC